GTAGTACTACTACTACTGCTGCTACGTACTACCAATGCGCAAACACTTTCACATGGTACGTTTATACATAAAGGCGGGTGTTGATTATAAGAGGGATCAAGGGTTAGTCATCCAGGGTGGGGGTGAGACGCGGGGTCTCCCGTAATCCGGTACCTTCTTATAGTACAGCTCCCTTTATTGGTTTCCGGGCTTTGGGAACAGGCATATGGCAAGCTCTGGTACAAGTACTGCCACTTGATTTTCGGTTTGTCATCTTTGTTTCTGCTTTTCCCGTGCCAGTTTTTTGACTTCATTCTCACTACTCGTGTTGAAGACCGTGCAGCTCAAGGCTTAGTCTACAAAAATAACGTGAGTTGATTTTGCCCTACAAGGTCCCAAAGAAGGTCTGCAAAAGTCCAGCAGTGGAACATGATGGAGAGGATAACTTGGGGCTGGCACAAAACCCTGCCCCAATGAGAGAAGCTGAAACCCTGCACCCGGTTTAGATGGTTCAGGCTGCTGGCAACCTCCTAGCCTACGCGGTCTCTTACGACTGGAGCAGGGGCTGTGAGGGCTTCCAGGATAACCTGCCAAAGCAGGTTGTCATCCATCGGTACAAGAAGCAGTGATCACATCCCCCGAAGCTTGCCCATGCTTATGTGGCTGCTCCTGGCAAAATGGTGAGGGATTCCAGGGATCACCGCTGGGATCGATTCCGGCGTTCCCCACTAAGTATGAGCAGGGAATGCTGCATCCCCCTGCCCCTTCCAAAAGATCATGCCTGCACGTAACCACGGCGGAGTAGAGTGGCCAATTTTGCTGCTGAGGCGAAAGGGGTTGATTGTGGGGTTGACAGAAGTTCTTTCGTCCCGTATACGTATACATGGGGGTTTGCCAAAATGAGGGGGTACCATTTTTGGGGGTCCCTAATCGGGGTCCCCAAATTTGGGGAAATGACGTAAATAGATAAATAGATAAATATGTATATATGAAAGAGAGCCACATCAATGGAAGGCACGCAAGAGTCATTATGAAGAAGCAGGCTTGGTAAAAGACTTTAAGTTCGGGGTTTGGGCTTTAGGGCTTAGGGTTTGGGGTTTAGCGTTAAGAGTTCTGGCTCATGGTCCACAGGGATCCAAAAATCGTACAAATGGGGTGCAAAGGACAACTCTATGAGTGGTTTACGTACAGATCATAGGAGTTCCAAACAAGAGCAACAGGGAGCCTAAACAGGTACCCCGCACCATACTCACAGCAGAAATCTGTGACCACCATATTTGGAATTCTTTATGACTTATGTCTGCCTTTTCCATCTGATTCTCCGTTGTTGGGGTAATAATCCCTTAGACCTTATTCTCAAGCCCTACAAACGGGCAGCCTGATCTTGAGATGCCCCATGTGACTGCTGCTCGTAACCAGCCGTGCAGCGTAGGGCTTACCAAAAAGCAGTCAATAGGAGGCCTATGGTCCCCACTCCCTCCGTTGGCGTTGGGTATATTGTTATACGTAGGGGTATGTAGGGATGTATAGGGATTACATAGGCATTTTGTAGGGATTATACGGGGATTATGTAGGGATTATAAGGGGTTATCACCAAACAATAGAGACTGGAAGATGAAATGGAAACTGGGTGTATAGGTTCCTTTCTCACAGTCTAGTCGGTATGGCAGAGACCGTGGGGAACCATATAGGGGTTCCCAAAATTAAGGGGTACCATTTTGAGGGTCCCAATAATAAGGATTTTAGTATTTTGGGGTCTAGATTGGGGTCCCCCTATTTTGGGAAACTACCATATTGCCTGGTATAGACACTACTTGATCCTGCTGTCAACCGTTCACAGCAACGCAAACTCAGCGGACATACCTGTATGCAGAAAGATGGATCATCGTCATCACCTGCCGGGAAAGGGAATGGCATCTTAGTTCACGTGCTGCGAGATCCGTAAACCCATACATGAGGAAAGGCTTGGTAAGCACAAAATGGGGCGTCCATCAGTTGAGATCCTGCCGCCAAGTCTCCTTGTGAGTCTGGCGGTTTACAGCACCGGGTCATTAAGCCTTGTCTAAACCCTAAACCGCGCGTCACCTCTTTGGGGGCTCCAGGAAGCCGACTTCGCCTTAGGACTCGTGCTGTGCCTCCAGGGCCATGGCCACCACCTTCCTCGTGAGCCCCGAGGGGCTCAAGGCCACGCGGTTTTTGGGTGTGGGGTTTTGGGTCTTGGGTTCAGGGTTTTGGGGTTTTTGGTTTTGGGTTGAGGGTTTTGGGTCTAGGGCTTTCTGGAATCGGGTTTTGGATTGAGGATTGTGAAGAGGGCTGGCAGAGAATAATGGAACCCGTGTTTTTTGGAGGGAACCCATGTTTTTTTAAATTAGTATTGTTAGGCCCCTTAGAGCCCAGCCAGGCAGGCCGGTAAGT